TGTAACACGACGCGCGGTGAGAGCGGAGGGCCGGCGGGCGCCGGGCGGTGCCGGGGAGCGTCAGGTGCAGCGCGGGGAGAGGGCTCCCCGGGAGCCGCCCGCCCGCCCCCCGCAGCAGCTCCGGGGCCTCTCGGTCAGCCGGGCCGGTCCCCGCCCCGAGGACTTCTGCTTAGGGTTTGTGCGAATGCAGCGTTCGTTCTCTTTCAGCTTCTCGGTAAAAACGATTGGTGATCCGTGCCAATACCCTGCAATTGCTGGCGACTTGTGGTATCTTTTTCCTTGGAACAAGAGAAGGCTACAGCTCTTCTTTTGTATTTAGTTTCTGTTTTAACAGTTCAGGAAACTTTGGGGTTGATTTTTTTTTTAATATATTTTTCCCCTTTAATGTTTCAGTGAGAAAATTTGGCTATATGTTGTGAAATAAACTAGTGCTGAAACTTTATGGTGGTGGTTTATTCCATGTTACGAATTCTGTTCCAGACTTCAGAAATTATTCAATACCAGCCTGGGAGTGGCAGCAGTGAGCATATTGCAAAGCGTGACAGTTTTTTTTCAGGCTTTACAAAGTTACCCTAATTATCTTTTCCCGTCTTTGCCTATGGCCGTTTACACTTTCTGAACTACACACAGTATTAATGATAGAAATCCATATCTCGATGCGGGAGAGGTTTTCGCAGGTCGTTGTCCTTTCTCAATCATAGTAAAATTTTAGGTACTTCCAAAATGTTTCACCACACTTTTTTGAACTCTCTTGTTCAGGTGGCCCAGACAAATAGTCTCCTCCACAGGACTATGTCGGTTTGGAAGTAGAATTGACTGCTGCTGGGGCTGGGCCCGAGTGTCCTGGGGGCAATGCCAACGTGAGTATCATTGCTGCTGGGGCTTCTAGTCACTTGTAGAAAAGGCTTGCACACACCTAGTCACGTCTGTCACATGTTCACACACATTCTTACAACGCAGGGCTTAGGCTTTTGCACGTGTGAGTTGGACTTCCTTATAAGGATGTTGTCGGGTTAAAATTCTGTCTATTTTTAACAGTACTAAAAATGATTGCAATCAAGTAAGGTAAACTTTAGTTAGGGCAATGAGAATTTGGGAATCTCTGTTTGGTTTCCCTTTCATTTCATGCTTTTGTCTAATAGCCTGATGTAACACTATACTGTGTCATGTTACAGGCACTGCAGGGCAAGAATATTTGCGTCCCAGAAGGAAATCCAGATTATTGACATTTCACTTTGAAAGTCAATGGAAATGTTCCAATTGGCATTAAGTTCAAACATTCTTTTGGTAACCCCAAACTAAGGGTATAAATATACCTGACAGCATCCTTTTACTGGGTCACACGTGAAGAGAAACATCTCTGAGATTCTCACATCTGTCTAGAATCTTGGATGTAATTGCAGGATAACCAAGTAGATAAGTCTTCATCATTAACTACATCTTCAAAAGTTATTCTGTCACGGCAGCTAGCACTGTGTAGAAGTTAAAATTGTTAGGAGTGTCAAAGAGACCTCAGCTTGTTAAAATTACAGCCTTTGATACTGGGAACGCTCGCTCATGTGTTTAACACTGCATACATGAGTGATATCCCCTAAGTTTTTGCAGGAGTGAACCTATAAATACTGGTTCTCATTTTTTGTTGTAATTTTGATACAAACGTCTGCAAACTGTATCATTTTCTGCCAAGCCATTTTAAAAGTAAAACAGGTATTAAATACTGTAAGTTGCTTAGTCTGCAGGGCGGTGACTATAGGTGGCAAATATTAGGCAAAAGATAGAAATAGCATTGGCAACGCAACTGTAGACTCTCAGCAAAGGTTTTGTTCAAATCTGTAAACAGCAGGATTGGCTTCTTCCTTCCCAAGTGTGTTAAAAGCCCACAATGTTTAAAAGGCATATAAGATGACTGATAAAAAAGCTATGTAAAGTACTTCTGTAACATAATATCCCTGATACTGTTTTTTGATGCTAAGTTCTCAGGTTGATATCTCTCAGTCCATACCATGAATCATTTTGATTTTTAGGGCTGCAGTTGGTAACAAGTAGTCCTTCCCCTGGGATGAATGTTTACAGAGAAGGAAGGAGAATGTGAAGTAGGTCGATTGAGGCTACTCCAGAGATCACAAAATCTGTGTCCATCTTTCATAACACAGTTTTATTTGAAAATTATTGAGCATTTCAATGTTTGAGGCTACAAAGGCTTAACTGGCAAGTATCAATAATTCACATTGTTTAAAAAAAAAAAAAAAAGAAAAAGAACAAGCCCCCAGATATACCAAATCCTAAAAGGGTCTCACTGTGGCCCTCTTCTTAGACAAGTTGTCTTCTGTGTTGTGACCGTAAATTGCAGCTCGTATTAGGGTATATGTCAATTTCAGTTATATTTGTCCTTTAATTTCTTACTATTACCAAGTCTGATTTGGGGTTGCATTTTTATCATCTTAGGAGACAGGAATAGCATGAAGTGATGCTAGCAGAAGATCCATAACTAAAAGTTGAAAGTCAGACAAAAGTAATAATAGACAGAAAATATTTTTTATGTTTTACTGCTTGAATTTTGTCAATAAGGTCATTTGTAGTGCCAACTCTTTCAAATACCATAAATGCTCTTTTTTTTAAGGCTAAAGCTAGGTGAATGCTTACCTCCTTCCACTGCATTTTAGTCCATTATTCACAGATTTGTTCTCCATGCACATTTCCAAGAAGTGCACAGATGCATTTTATGTGATCATCTCTAGTAGCTGGGACCAGACTTTCAAAAGAATACAATTATGCTTTAGGTGGCTAAATGTATTTTTTCGCATTTTTTTCACACACTCTGGGTACTGATAACTTTTAATTGCCAGTTCAGAAGAGTCTCAGACATTTGGATGAAGATCTTATTAAAAACCTAACAGCTCCTTCTAGTTTTTAAATGGAAGAAAAACTCTTAGCAAAATAAAGCAAGAATATCCGCCCCACTTGTGGGGGTGAAGACTCCAGTTATATCACAGAGTGGGAGATTACACTAAATGAATCTTTCTAGTGCTCGCAGCCAAATCTGTACTCAACTCTCCACTTTGGGAATGTGGCATTTGGTATGAAGGATTAACCTGGCACAGAAGGCAGCATTCCTGGCCTCAAAGGAAAACTTGAGTGTTTTACTGTACAAGGGGATATCACTGAAAAATTTCCAAAAAGGCAAGTACACAGTTATTTCTCCTACTTTCTCTATGGAGAAAGGCAAACTTGTTAGTCCTGTCCCCGAAATGAGTGGCATAAATACATGTCAGACTTTCTCTACTAGATGTATGCTTTCTTTGTGGTTTCTACAATAAATTGTTTTTGCACAATGAAAGCAAGTATAGACTCAGGCTTAAAAATTAATAGTGAGACCCAATTTACAAATGAATCCGAAAAAGAAGCTGTAATATTCAGGCAGTAATGCTGAGCTCTTTATTAGTGAGCTTGCACTGCTTTTCTCAAACCAGTTTGAGCCATCCTTGCTATGCCTGCAAGTGCTACAGCACCTTTGGACTCTCACCTGTTTACTCATGCATAGTTTACTATGTAGGCACTGATCATCTCTGAATTTATCTTTCTGACAACAACTGTAAGGTGGGAACCATGCCAGAGCCAGAGTGTAGCAGGAATATAGGCTCTGATACATGACGGTATCTTACGGAGAGCCCTGAATCATGATGAGCCGCGGGCAAGTGATCGCTAACACACCTGAGTACATTTTCCGCTGTCCAGCAAACACGCGTGGGCATGCCTTCTGCCCATGGCTACTGAGAAAAAAATGCATCAGTTTAAACCAACTGTGTGATTTAAGGTAATGGTTTAATTGTGACAGAGGTTTAAGCCTGTATATGTCAGCTCTAACAGAGTAGGATTGTGGCATAGCTGACAAGCAGTAACTAATTAAGCCTTGGTAATTCGGTGCTCCTGATCTTCCATCCATGGCCCATCCATACAGTTGCACATGGAAACTGTTAGCTAAACTTGCTTTTGTGAAGTGTGGAGTAATTCCTTTTATGTCCCTTTGACTGACAGAGGAGTGCACGTAGAGCATAACCGTGCTTACTGCTGCTTAGTAACGCAAGCCAGCATAACTCAGCTGTCTTTTTCACTCTTATATAAACACGTAGGAAGAAATTGAAATCAGGCCCCTCCTTTAATTTACACTCTCCTTTGAAACATCCTCTGTCTCCTGTTAATAAATTACACCTATCAAGACTTGCACATGTAAAGAAGTGCACGTAGGTCTGATCTGTCTGTAAACTTGCTTCCAAAGCCTGTCAGTGTTGGCTGTAACTTCTCAGCTAGTAGAAATATTCTGTCATCAGTGACATGAAATTGCCTTCCCAAATGCCCTTTCCAATTCCAGCAAATGCACTTAGAAGGTGTTCCTCCAACTGAAATAATCAGGAACTTTGAAACAGGTTGGATTTTTTTTTCTCCCTTGCAGGTTGTGAATACCAAAGTGAGATCCATGTTTAGGCAACTAGATCCATGTTGAGACTGATACAAATATAGCCATATTTTCAAAGAGGCCGAACGAACGTAACTCAAATTTGTTGGCATTTCTAGGTCCTTGTAAATTAAAAATCCATCCACGCTTATTTAGTGGCCTAATCTAGATTTAGAACAGTGGATATATGCCATCACTAACATAACTAAGTAGCCTTTCTGCGGTTTTGATCTGGTATATAAACCAGGTTTATTGGTTAAACCGGATGTGTAGAAAGGCTAATTTGGAAGCAGCAGAAATGTTTAAACAATAACTCTTAGTTCATGTGAACTAACTTCATCATCAATAGAGCTGATCCGTTACACTGGTGGATTCACAGCATTGGTGCTTTTAAGTTATATGTTAAATATCCCAGTTGAAATTAGTCCAAAAATCACATGTTGTTGGTCAGCCTGTGGGATTTACTTACACCTTAATAAGTAGTAGTGGGAGTAAATCACATAAAAGCCTACTTCTGTGAAAAATGGTATGTTGATAAAGTACCTGATGAGATGTGTGTAAAAATAAGGCTGTTGTCTTGCATTTTTATGTGTTATGGTTGTGCACACAGCAAAACTAAACCCAGAGCAAACGTGAGGCTAGAAAGAGTTTCTTCGGGATTTCTTCTTTCAGAGCAGGGGGTTTTGACTTCCTGTGACAGAGCGTTTTTGGTAAGAGCAGCTATCAACAGTACATTTTTAATTCATAACTCCATTTCCTTTGTAAGGCAACTGCATCTGTGGTACTGACTGTGTTGTCCTAACCCAGAACCAATTAAACTGGTTTTAAAGCATACAGGGAAGACCAAGTTGGGACATGCATCATTGCACACATCTTGCACAAACGTACTTTTATGTGTGCCAGAAGAAAAAAAATTGCCTTGGGAAGTTGATTCAACTTTTTTTTTTTTTTAAATGTGTTATTTAGCATTAATTTTCATGGTTTAAAATACTTGGGGGAAGAGAATTTCCAGCAGTGATAGGGCTGGAGCTCAGTTGTGTGAGCTGGATGAGAAATCTCAACTACAGACTAGAAAACAGTTGTGTCCGTTCCTGTATTCTAGCTGCTGTAGTCTAGGAGACCTGCTGAAGCCTCTCCTAAGCCATCCCCCTCATAAGATATCTGTGACAGTATTCTGCATGGATGGCTGTCTTCCTAAGTGTTTCTCGAGGAAAGGATAACCTGGGCCTTGCTGTCCAAGTGTCTCTGCTAGGTCAGAGGAAGGCCAAGCAGCAGGAGGGTCCCTTGGAACCACTGCTGGCTGACCCTTGCCGATATTCTAGTGTACAGAAAGCAACTGTGAATATAGACTCGCATACTGAGCTCTGGAACCTGGTTAGCCTGTCAGAAAACTGAAATATGGGATAAGAAATGCACTCATTTCATCCAGAGACTTATGTGAGAAGTAGTGTCATGCTTTTTATTCCCCGGTATGAAAAAGGAAGTTCTTTCCTTCAGTTTCCAACAGGCCATGCTAGGGGTTATTTGAAAACCAGTAGTTCCTCGTGGACATTTCTGCCACTAATTCGTCTTGGTTCCCTGAAAGTTATTCTTAGAACTAATGGTCTACCTGCCTTGCTTTTAGCTGGCTTACAAATATCTCTAGTTCTTTCAAAAGCTATAAAAAATGGTTTCCACATGCGTGTGTCTTTCATGAACAAAATACATCTGCTTTGTACTTGGCTGCATGTCTGTTTGTAATTGATTTGTATGCTAGTTATATGTGGTCAAGGCACACTAAAGATGTACTCTGCATTTTGCTTCAAAATTCCAGCTTCAGTTTAAGACCCAAGAACTGTAGAAAGAGATACTACTTTACCATAGATTTAAAATGTTAAGCAAGATTTATTTTTTTTTTTTTTAAGAAAAGCAATATAAACCGGCTTGAATTCTCATGCTGGATTACAGTTTGGACAACTCCTTTGCTAGAGGCAATGGCAAAAATGGTTCCTTTTGCTGTGTTCACGTATGTACAAAATAGAAGGTTGGATCTGCAGCTTCTAAAAACACATGCAAATCTACTGTCACATGCTCTGTTGGCATGAGTCTGCATGACTGCTGGAGTCAGCAGAGGGTACTCTGAGGTTTTGTCTGCTGGACAGAAAGTTTGACCAACAGAAGATGCTTAACAGGAATAAAATCCCACTGAACATGGATTGTACAAGTAATGATGTTAATTGATTACTTCACTCATTTCAGTGTTGAATTCTCCTTAAACAATAACAAAATCTATGAAGTCCCTCTTGAGAAGGGGTTGTGAAGATGAGTGTGCTCTTTCAGAGCGTCCATCTGTTGTAACTCCATCTGGTTATCTCCCTGTGCTGAGGTTTCAGTGTTTTACCTAGAGAGCAAAACCAGAATAGGTCAGCAACGTAGCTTCCCACCACCTTATGCTAAAGCCATGACAATTGGCTTAGAAGCCTAGGGACAGAGCAATCAAGAAGGTATACCATAAAATAGCCCATTAGTAAAAGTATAAGTCAAGCCATCAGTTTACACCTCCCCTTAGCATTGCATCATTAAAAAATGTTAACTGAAAGACGTCAGGCTAGCATTTAGATTTAGTCAAACCTAGTAGAAAGCATACTATTTCAGCAGGTTCTTAAGAGGACCTGCAAGAGAGAGAGGGGAGCTTGTACAAGCTGACGTAGCAGATGCAGGCATAACCAAATGCTTTGCTGGGAACTGTGCATGCTGCTGCCTTCTTAAAACAGTTGTAAAGAAACTTACACTGTCTATGCTGCTGCTCCTGTCCTGATGAGCTTAAAGACTGTGTGTCTGTACTATGCAATCTATTTGCAGAGATGCAAGGTGGTGGTGGTGGGGTGGGGGAAGAGGTGGCTGTGCTCTCATTGATGTCTAGAAGGAGATTTTGTATAACTGATGGTAACGTTGATGGGAGTTTGCCCGTATAAATCATCTCATACATCAATGGGAGAAGAGGCCATGAGCTGCTTCTGTTTCTTGCACGTAACAATGCTTTCAGTGGAAATGGCAATTCTGTATGGTCCAAGATGCACAAAAATAAAACCATGGTTTTGTTAATAACGAGCCATGAAAATACTAGCGTCCAGGAGACTGACTCACTAGCAGAAACCTCCTTAAAGTCAATAAGAGTTTTGTTACTGAAATTTGGGTTGCAAGAATACAGTCCGTATTGATGCATTGTTTTGGCAATGTTTAATCAATATTGATATGCAGCGTGTCTGCTGCTTATAAAACAACGAATATTTTTGTGCATCCCTGGTTCTTTTCAAAGAAAAGACATTTTATACAGAATTGCAGTACTGCTTTAATACTGCTATGCAAGAAAAATGAGGTTTTGCTATTTTTATTCAGGTTTTTTTTTTTTAAAGTTTAGAAGCTTTATGCTTTTAAAGCAGTTATGCCTTTACTATGTTAAAGATACAGTATCCTTTTCCACTTCCCCACTGCATCCCTCGTGCACTTCATACATAGAATAATAGATTTGCAGTCCATTTTTTTTCCAAGGAAATCTCAATAGTAACAGGATTTGACCATTTACAGTTGCAGCGTATTCGTATTTGGAGCTTTTCTCAAAGCCCAGCAACAACTTGGGGAGCCTCTCTCTACTATATCAAATCCTAAGGGACTTTCTGGTTAAAACTAATTTAAACCAATATAAGTTGCAATCATAGCAAACCCTTAAGTGTTGGTCACATACTACTAAAAATACAAAGAGTTGCTGTTGCTTAAGTCCCAGTCAGTCTTTTATAATAAGGCTATGTAGCCTAACAAGCTATGCTGCTAACATTAATTTTATTGGCAAATAAATTGATTTAAAGTAAGCCCAAAACATAAATCTGTGTTTCCATCTTATTTAACTTTTGTAGCGTATCTAGTTTCATATGGTAGTAAGAAATTAAAAGGTCTCTAAGCATTAGTTTTAATTTAGATGACATTCAAAATTTAAACATTATAAAAATGACCAGTAAATTTATATGCCAGCATGTTTATTGGTTGCAGATGTTCAAATACTTATAAATGGGTGTAATTTTAATTACTCTCAAATTAGCATCCAGATGCTAACCCTTTATATTTGCTCTGTGGAAACGCAGCATTAAAAATACATACCTATATTTAATGAAAGGATACTGTCTCTTTAAGAAAAGCATTTATGTTCTGTTGATGGAAACATTGAACCTAAACCCTGAAACATGAGAATTTTTACAACTATGTACCATGTGAAACATGACAAAGTGTAGCTCCTTAGTTGATTGAATAAGAATAGCATCACGTCATTATATTTAATTATTCTTATGTATCAGAATGTGTTTATTAAATCTTATAATGAAATACTGATGTACGGTATTTCCATTTTTAAATGTGTACCAGAATTTTTTTTGTTTCAGAAAAGCTCTGAATGTTGAATGTGTGTAAGTCTCCAGGAATGTAACAAGTTGATAAAAACCCCAGCCAAGTCCATCCTCCTTACAGAAAAAAAAAGCTGGAATTTCTTTTTTTGGACATTTGTTTTGCAGCTTTCTACGTCTTAAGGCAGAGAATAGCCAGCCTAAGGTGCCAGCCCAAAGGTTAGCTGAACATATTTCTTAAAATAATTTTGGCAAGGTTATGACTTGGAGTTACGGTCTCTAAGTCATAAGTTTACATGAAAACTATAATATGTGACAAGAAGATGTAGATGTTCTTTTATTTTTTACATTTTTTTTTAAACATTTGATTTGGGGAAGTGGAGGGGGGAAGGAAATTAACAGGGCTGTTTTGTCCCAGTTACCTCTCCGATGAGATAGTTATTTTCTAGACTATTGTGCTTTTCCCTTTTCACTCTTTATTTTACCCTGAAGCCCCAGGCAATATTTTTTTCTTCCTGCAAATTGTTTATACTCGCAGCATCATATTTACAAGCTCTCAGACTTAGGAGGCCTGATTTGCTTTCGCAGTATTGAATCATGTGCAGTGGGAGGTTAGTCTGGGATGGCTGAAGCGCTTATTGCCCCCCGTTGCCTGCTTTGCACCTCCACTGCAAGTTGTCATTCCCACAACAGGGAAACTTCCCAGCTCCTGCTCTACGGCAGTGTACAACCTGGCGTGCTCGAGCAAAATGAAATCAACACTAGTTTACATTGGTACCCAGGGCTGTCGTCTGCTGCTGCTTAGGAATTGATATGTCTTGTTTACTTATCCCTGTGGCAGGAGTACCAGTCTTCAGAAAGAGGAGCAAAGCAATCAGCTGTTTGTCTGTGAAAATCAGCTTTGATACTGTGCTACAGAAGTAACTCAGCTGAAGCCATAGCAATAAGGCCCAGTTTGTTTTCTCTCACCGCACCCAGGGACACTCACGCTAGCCTGTTTCTAGCTGCTGGGGTTCAGGAAGCACGCAGAAAGGTTCAGGTAACAAACAGGCATTTGAGGTGATAGAGCACCATTCTTTAAGCAATTACCATGAGCCACTTGACATGCGAACATGAAAAGGTTGAGAAAGCATGAAATATTTCTTGCTTTTCTAATTTTGCATTGTGTTAGATGAAATTTTCACTGATTTTTAAAAGGAGTATTTAAGTGCATGAACATTAGTTTAACTTTCACTGACTTCATTAAACCCTATTGATTTCAGTGTTACCCATGCTTAAGTTATGCATGCTTTTAAGTGCTGTTCTGAATAGCAAGGCATTAATGAACCAGGGTCTGGATTTGTGTATGCAGTTTAGAAACACCTTTGGCAGCAGTCACAGGCAAGCAAAGAATTCACTGCAATGAATAGCCCTCACTGATTGCAGTTTGTCATGTTAATGTGCTGTTGCCAGAATCATATGTGCAAACTGAGTAACTGATTTACCCAGGCAAATGAAAAATTAGGAGCCAATTACTCAATGGAACTGTATGTTGTAGATTGAAGCTTAAGCATGCATTTTGACAACATTTATTATCGTGAATGTTACAAATAAGTGCAAGAATATTCAGGGATTATACCGTTTTATCTGATGATATTATCAGTCTCTAATTACAGAAGTTGGTCAAGGACATTTATCTTTCAAAAAATAGAATAAGGAATGTTTTGCGTATGAAATGATCTGAAAATTAATACCCAGTTGCCCTAGTCAGGCTTATTAAGCTCTACAGAGATGTATGTTGTAACTGCTAGTACATGTTTTGGGAGGCAAAGTTACTTTTTCAGAAGTAATTGTATAATGTGAGTTTATGGGTATGGCATGTTTTTACCACCTACTGGTAACTGTGTGGTAGGTTAAGCTTTGTGCATTCTCCTGCATTTGGATGTAGTCGAACAAAAAAGAAATATGTAACTCTGAAAGAGCTGCAGTGATTTATTTTACAAATTAGCTCATACCTTTGGGATCCAAGATCAAAATTGCTGTGAATAAGGCAGATTTATTTTCCTGAGTGTGTGTTTATGCAATTGCATAATTTGCAAAGAATTGCAAAAAGTAAGTAGAAATAGACAGATGTGAGCTGAAGCTAGCTCTGAGGAAGTATAGAACTTGAGTTTGTGGTCCGTAAGCATCACAGGAAAAAAGGGAGCTAGTTTCAGGTGAAGGAGGAGGCATGGAGGAAGGCTTGTTTCACCAACGTACAAGTCTTGTTATAAAGTTGGCCCTGGGGGAACCTAAGTAGCAATCTGAAGATGGGAAATCTGTTCAGCATTCAGCAGTGTAAGAGAGTCTGATAAAGGTTTGTGAAGCTGAATAGTGTGTAATCATCTCTGGGTGGATGCACAAATTACTTTCTGTGTTTGGGCAAACTGAAATTTAAGGAGCTGGGATTTTATCTCAGAATAAATATGTTATTGAGAAGAGAGGGCAGAAGCAAGGTCATTCAGGCAGATGGTCAGCATAGTTTGTTTCAGATGCAGGTATTCTTATGCATATTTTTGGGCTTCAGAGAGGAGAAAATAGAAGTTCAAGGGCAGTTTGGACATCTGCAATCTGGCATTTTTAGGCAGATTTGAGTGGAGGGATGCAGAAAGAGCAATTAAAGACTTTGAGGGCAACTTCTGTCAATGGAACCCTCTCGTAGGCATCACACAAGGAAGAAAAATGCAAGGGATAAGAAATAATTATTAAGGAACAGAAATTAAGAGGCAAAGCAGAGAAAAAGAATGTAAGAATTATACACAGAATTATACTCGAGGCTGTTTTGATTTAAAACTTATCTAGGAGTGTTGGAAAACCAAAGAAGAGTTGAATTGGTAGAGATACTTCACTAAGAAAGCTCAGGGATTTCCATTGGTGGCTACAAATGAAGAGCAGGAGTTAGGCAGGTAGGAACCAGGCAGTGCAACCGTCTGGTTATGACTCCACCAAACAGTGTTTGGTAATCAAGAAAGAAATCATTAACATTAAAATTTTAGATGAGAAGGAATAGAGGAAACAGCATGTAGTCATCAACCGTGGCCTCAAAAGGTGGGCAGCGTAGTGCAGAGGAACTGACAAAACCTGAGGGTAACTTCCCAAGCAGTTTTAAGGGAACTGTGCGCAGAGGGGGAAAAACAGATGAAATTGAAAAAAAACCAACTTTATAGACCCGTAATGAATTGATTGAATATGTTTTTCGTTTATTGTATTTACGCAACAATTAAGAAGTAATAATTCAGAATGATTGAGTCATGCTCGGACACCACCAGCAGCTAGCAGTGGCTGGGAATGTTGGTGGCTTCTGGCTTTTACACAAGCATAACACGTGCTAACAGCACATGCATTTCACCAGAAATTTTTTTCTCCCACACTTGGAAAAAAAATATCCCAAGCCTAAACCCAAACCGCTCGTTCATGTTTCAATTCTGTGTGTTATTTTTAAAGGAAGTTTAATTTGGCCTGAAGTTTAAGTGAGGCTTAAAATGTGGTATTTATCATCTTTTTTGGAGGAAAAGGTAGTTCTTGCCAACCTTGAAAATAGGTAGTCTGGTAGATTTATGGCCAAATAAAAGGCTGCTGTCCACATTTCCTTCTTGCCTAGTAGGGAAGTGAGTGTTATGTAGCAGACTGAAGTCCATGGATGTGGCTTTCTTCAGTCATTGTAAATGTGAGTTGTTTGGAGGCAAAAGATGTTATACTGGTTGTTGTTGTCAGTTGTGGGGGTATATTTTTAATTGTCAAGATGCAAAGAATATTAGTTGGGAGAATGATTTCCCCACTACTTACGAGTCTAATTGTGTTAAAAAAATGAATAAACACCATGTGTTTGTGTGTGAGCAGAACAACTGAAATATGCTGTTCCTATGCTATCCGGAATTTTGCAAGAAAGTAAGTAGAGTGGAAAATTCAAAGAAAATACCCAGGTGCATCAACATACGTAGTGTATGCCTAGACTCTTACAAATGGCTGAAAAAATTGTCTGCTACTAGAAGAAATGCTGGCAGTCAGGCTCAAGCTTATTTTTATACCTCTGTCTCATTGTTGACCATGTTGAAAGGGAACCCTTTGGGAGTCAGGGACTGTACCTCTGCTGCCGTGCAGGGGCAGCTCCTCCTTTGGAGAAGGGAGTATTTGCAGGCTGCCGATGGCCGAGCCTGAGTCAGCCCACCTCTCTGGGCCTGGTGGGTATACGAATAGCTCGGTGAGGGTGGCTTGCCCCCTGATGGGAAATGCTGTGGGGTGTATCTGTGGTGTTGGCTGAGCTACAGATGTTGCTAAGCTTACCCAAAGGAGCTTTTCTCTTGTGTATAGAAATTCTTCAGTTGTAACATTTGTATTGAATTTCAGCAGCTGTGTATAAATAGGATGCATAATACTTAAGTAGCCAAAGTGCACAGAATGTACTCCAGTTTATTAAACAGGATTTCTTCAAGTACAGTGTTTGGCAGCAAACGCAGGCTTCCAAATACCTGCTTAATGTGCAAAGAAAAAAGCATTTTATAATGATTTTGACTTTATGGATAGTGGTTTGCTAATCATTAGGAAACTCTCCCTGTGGTAGTAGAGGCTCTTGAGCTTTAGACTGCTGAGGCGCTGAAATCTCTTTTAACCAAGACTTTTAAAAAGAGGAGAGAGAGATATCTGGCGTGTGGTTTAAGTGCATTTCTTAATTATATCTTGAGACTAGGAGGTAAACTAGATCAGGAGTTACCCACCTGTATGTCATACACGACATTAAATACTACATAGTATGGAGCAGTAGTTTGTTGACATGTATTGGACTAGGCGATCTCTTGAGGATCCCACAGATCCGTTTGCTTGATTTAATAACATGGTCTGTGCCACATGTTTCATATCTGTAGACAGTTGTATATTATCTGTTTTAAACAAATGCTAGTACATAACTTTTGTTCTAGTACAATATTTGACCTGCTCGGTTAACTAAGAGAGTTAAGCAAAACATCTGATTCCTAATACAAATGTATTTGACCTTCTGAATTAGAGGAACATTTTTATTTCTAAATGAAATGAAAATGTCATTCATTTCATTACGGAATTTTGTAAGGCTTTTTGTCTTCAATATGACATATTTTTTCCTGTATCTGAGCTGCTGTTAATTTGCAATCTATGCAACTGAGGGAGAGACCAAGACTTTAAAAAAGTCAGTTAACTAAAGTTGCTGCAGGTTCAGCTACTGAGCTGTAACTGAGGCTGATCCCATGGCACTTTGTGTTTTCTAAAGAGTAATTATTACCTAACTGTATCCTACCCCACAATATGGATTTTCTCTGAAGTGCAGTTGAAATTTCATGATAGTTTTCAAAAACATATTTATAGTAATTCCTGTTTCTCTACTGTAGTTTAGATCACATCTTTTTCTTTTTCCCCAGTGACTTCATAGTCGTAAAGTGGGTCTTCATAGTCTTCATTTTGCCACCATCACCTCTAATTAGACATTGGTCTACAATGTCAGGAAGATAAGAGTTTCAGTGCCTAAATGGGCTCTTACACAAAGAGGATCCTTCTGTTTGCTTATGACCATAGTGATTAAAAAAGCAGTAATTGTTTCCAAGTACAATATTCTACAAGTTTTTCATGATGTATTAGTTGCTCTTCAGTCAAATCTGTCCATTACCCAAGGGCATACTTTTTAAAACATACCTTTTAGTAGTCTAAGCAGCCCCTTTCCCTAATGCTTTAATTGAGAGATGTTTCTGTATCTGAATCCCGTTTCTTTGTTTCTGAACAGTGTTTATTGGAAAAAAAAAATCTTGCATTAACTAGAAACATCCCTCACTGATGCCTTCTAAGATATTCCTTAAGACAGTTATTCCTTAAGACAGTTATTAGAAAGAGACTGCACCATCATGTTAGAAAGATCCATCGAGAACAGTGCTGTAGATTTAAAGCAAGGTTTTATGTTGTCAGTGAATATCACTGGCCATATATATATAGTGTTTAAACAAAAAAATGCCTTGATAATAAAGGATAAATGCAGTCCTAAAACTGGAGCAAAGTCCTTCTACGCTAGCAGTTGCTTCTGTGGATGCATTTGTGGGAATTGCTGATTCTGGATGCTTTGAATCTTATGGAAAAGAACATCAGAGATGTATTTGCATTGTTCTTCTACAAACAAAACTAATCTCTTGTTCCTGTTTTAATTTTGTTTAATTCAACCCTGTTGAACAGCTTGGCTAGAATGCAAGCTACATTTTTGAGTGTCTTCTGACAAATTTCTGTTGAATTACATCCTTAGTACATCCAGTTTTGTGATACAGCCTGTTGTCAGACTACTTAATATTACAACTGGATCTAGTTAGTTACTTTGCAAATTCCAAACAATACTGTTAGTTTAGAAAATGAACTTAAAGCCAGGGTAAATAGTGAATCCTGATTACAGGCTATTCAAGTTATGCTACCCTCTGATTTCTATCTAATTTGTTTCCATCTGCTTAAACAATAAGCTTACCGGAATTTTGCATCTGCGTGTTGTCATATAATGATAAACAATATTTTAGAGCATAGTAAATACTTTAGTTTTCCAGTAGGTTGAAACAGTGCGTTTAGTCATAGAAAGACATTTTTAATAAAAAAACACTTGGAAATGTTGTTTAAAATTTTGAGCTGTAAAATTGTTTCCAGAGTTATGCAGGATTCGTTGCACTCTGAAAATATTCCTGTTAACTAATCCTACGTCAGTAGAAATATATTTGTGCATGAATTCTTATATTTCAATAATAAAACAAGCAATGCTTGTTTTATTATTGAAGCTTTAAAAGTTTGTTTTATGAATTTTATTTGTGTTATATTGAGAGAGGTACCAAAAAATGGCTTCCTAACTATTATTTCTTGGAATTCTGTATTTATGCCCCATTTGGGGCATAATTGGAAATTACCTGGCAAATTTGACCCTGGAAGCAGAATAGACCATAACTCCACATTTTGAGACTGTATCCGTACAGCAGGTTGGGTAATAAATGCTGGAAATGTTCGGAGTCAAAGTGACTTGAATGCGTGCAGTGATAAAGCAGCATATTACAGTCAGCATCACTTTTGCTTTTACCCAGTCCTTTTTTCCTCCAAAAGAAAAAGAAAAGCAATAACCATGTCAGTATCCAAACACCAGAAAGGGAGAGATTTGGGCAAAACGTTGCTTAATAAGGGGGTAAAGAGTACTGCTTTATGGTTATAGAGGAAATCAGTGAATGCTGGAAATGTGCTACTGCCCATCAGTGACTGAACTATGGCTTTGTTTGTACATCACATGTGACACTGATGTACACATTTTCTGTATAGCTGGGGCATATTCCAATTTTACCAAATTTAATGGCATGAATCATAGTATGTATATACATAGAGAGAGCAAGTGAAGGCATGGTGCCTACTTGCCGATTAGGTATGAAGAGAGTTTAATATCCCAGAAATGAAGTATTGTACAGAAATAGACTACTAACAAGTATCTTGCTCTTCCCACATGTATTGGGATGGTGGTTATTTTTGAAATTGCACCTGATGTTTAAACAGGTGTCCTTGAAGCATATAATGATGCTGAAGGGAGGAACATAAGCGGTACTATTTGTTAGGTCATTGCTATTTGTTTCAACATAAAGCACTGTCAGCCGTGACTGGAGTGGAAGAATAATGAATATTCTTCTATTTGCAGCAATATGCCAGCCAGGATGCAAACATGGTGAGTGCGTTGGGCCAAACAAGTGTAAGTGCCACGCGGGATACACTGGAAAAACCTGCAACCAAGGTAAGAAAGTGAAGTCCAAGGAAGAGAATTTCTTCTTGAAATCACATGAGTATTGTTAATCCCTCTCTCCCCAAACGTTCTGTGCGCGTCATCTGCAGTTATAGGGTAATGAACTCGTATACCAGGTCTGTTGCTGCTGTAGCTATTCTGATACTGGGACTGACATTTTTAGAGAGAGTACCATCTGCAGTGGGATAACACAGGGGAAAATATTGCTTTCATTCAGATGAAATCAATGAGATTAATGTAAAGTTTGTGTTTACATGCTCTCCTGCATCTGAATCAAATTATCTAAATCTTGTGGTAACTATTGTTATTTCATAAATTTACAATTTTCAGGCTTGGATAGTGAAAAAATATTTGTTTAATTAAAAACAATTTCTCTTACGCATTCTTGTTTTTGTGTTTCTAATCCTGAACTAGCTAGGTAGCGATAAACTGTAGTGTGTACTTAAGAGTTGGAAAGATGAAGTGTTTTCCTACTGAATTATTATCAATATAGTTTCATTGTGGGCTTTTTTTTTTTTTTTCGCTAAAAGCTGATCTCCAAAACATGTAATGGTATAAAGATCATAGAGTATAAATAGAACTGTAATACGTGATTGATTAGATTTTGATGCCTAAGGCATGTTCACATACAAAGATATCTCAATAAAACTGTTCTCTTTTCCAGTTGTCTCAGCCTATAGAAAAAGTTCATATGTTTTCTGAGAGTGCTGAGGAAGTACGGTAGAAAAGTGTGACACTGAGAACTACGCTGTTGTTCAAAAATGTACCCTGATGTTTGCTAACCTTCTTTTGACATGCTGATTTTAGAGTGAATTATTTTCTTTAAAATAGATAAACATTTATTTCCAGATGTACTAATCCTTCCCGGACTGATGTGGAAAATGAATGTTGTATTTTTCAGTTTTGTTTTAAGTCTCATTTATTCTGTCATCTCTCAAATTATCCTGTCTCCTTTTCCCTTTACTCTGGGCTGACATTTTAAAGGATGGGTTGTTATGATTTCATTATTCTACACCTGTTTTGGTCAGTCTGGAACTTTTTTTGAGAGCAGTGCAGTGACCTAACTGTTGTTAAATGTATATGTAACAGTTTTTATATGTACTAATTACTTTAAAAATATCAAAAGAATGCTGTACAAATTTCTGGAGACAGCGGTCTTGAACTAAACTATTCACTTTCCCCTAAATGCTAAGGAAGGAAAAAAATGTGGTGATAAATGACTAAAGGAAGCCTTTTAGGCAGTATTGATCAAATATTCTTGCACAGTATTGGTAACAAACTTGCCGTGGCAGATGCGCACGGGGCTTCTGAGATGCCTGCTGACAGTAGTGTCCCAAACGTGCGTTGGTTCAGATGACTACAGCCTAAATCTGTTCTGTGGTGAGACCCTGGAGCTGTTCCTGGGGTTGGGGTATGTGTTCTTGCCATATGCTGATTCCACATTAGGATGAGACCTGAATGTGCATAGTGGATGGGGAGTCTGCCTTTGCTGGGAGGAAATTCAAATGGCACAGGATAAGTGTGACGCATGTTATTATACCCTAGTATAGCACCTGTCATCTTGTTGAGGTTTGAGGTAAAACAGGACCAATTTTGTTCAGTAACTTTACTTTTCATTTAAGCCTCTTCTAACTACTGAAATTAACAGCATATTGTGCAGAAACTGTTTGCTCTCAGAGTGATAAGACCTATGTTTATAGTTGATGCCCAGGCATGGTATGCAGAGAGGCTCTTGCTTATTCTTCTTGCTACAACACCCAAGGCCAACCAACTTTGTTATTTGCCCCTTTGGGGGGTTGAAAGCAGAAGGGCGTAGAGGGGTCACACCTGCAGGGATGAGCAGACAGGACGGGTGACCCAAAACTGACCAACAGGGTGTTCCATCCCATCTGCCTCATGCTTAGTATAAAAGCTGAGGGATCAAAGGGTCAGTCTCTTCAATGGCCGACGTCTGAGGAGGACTCTGTTCTTCTGCCTTTGATTCCCATCCTGAATGCGGATCCAGAATCCAGTTCCCATCTGTCACTGAGTCCAGTCTGGGACTTCCTCAGTGCCAGCCGGTGATGTGATTGTCATCCTGGGAGCTTGATATGTTTTTTCATTATCTCCTTTTTATTTTATTATTAATATTTCTTTAAAGTAGTTTAGTTCCTTCTAAACTCATAAGTCTCTCTCTCTCCTGCCTCTCTTTGAAGAGAGAAGTAGGGGAGAGCACCCATTGTTCCGCCCAGTGGCCGGTTCAGCCCAAACCATGACACCTGTTTAGCCTATGGGCCATCTTTCTTGTTCCTGCTCTCAAATAATAATTAGCAATAACAGAAAGTAATGGTGTTGGCAAAAGAAATGTTGGAGTTCCTGCAGAGATGGAAGTCTTTCTAGCATGTGTGAATGGTGCTGGGCTGTAACGTATGCTCAAGTTCTTGGTGAAAGGCATTCTTTGAGTACAAGCACTGATAAATAGGCTTTACATCTCATTCGTTTGTGTCGCCTTGTGGATCAAGCCATATTCCAGGGACCAATCCAAGAGAAGAACCCAGCCTCACAGCAGAACTGTTGAACCTCGACTGTATGATGATATCTGGATGCTTGTCCTTTTCCAGCAGCACTGCAGTGGCTGTGGCAATCTAGACCTTGCTTTAAGACACTCAGAAGTTAGGATTAGCTGATACCATCTCTTTTATTATGTTGTGACATTCAGCAACTAGATTACAGTGACTTTGCAAGAACTAACCATGTGGTCTCCTCACAGCATGCAAATCTCCTGAGCAGCTTTAGCGTTTCCCTTATGGCTTTTTGATCGCAAGTTTACAGCTGTAACTAGTTAAGAAGGAAGCTGAGCAACTTGAAAGAAAATACCCTGTGCCAGCTCTCTAATTTAAAGTGATAATAATGGAACTAATACTTCTTTCAAACGTATTCATCAGAAAGTTGATACCTGCTCTTCAGTAAGATCTATGTTCACAGACAAATACGAATAGATGAAATGCAGGGTAACTTTGTGTGGCTGGGAAAGGTTGTTTTTAAGCAAAGAACGTAAGGCAATTTTTCTGTAATGTATTATCCTCTTATCCTGTTTGTTCCAGGAAGATGATGTGAAAGTTTGCTACTCTCTCTATTTTTTAATGCAATTCTCAGCAGCACTTTATTTTTATTTAATTAGTTAGTTTTAATGATTAAGTAATGCATATTACAAAGATCTGGTCATTTTTATTATGCCTTCGTCCCATCCTGTGAAGATGAGCAGCTCTATACAAGTCCATCTGGTCAGAGCAGTGAAGCACTTGTATTCCGTCCCCTGGATCATCATGCAAGAAATACGGCGTCAAGGGGTGAGATGGTCCCGTATTTCAGGCGGTGTGCTCCTTCTACCTGCACGGCTTGAAACAGTAATACAATTTTTTGCCAAGGGGTTTGGAGGCTAATGGACTGATGGCTGTGATGCGAAAGCTGAACCTGCAGTGTCATTAGCATGCAGAGCAAATAACTGATAGTATTTCCTTGATGCTGTGTGCCTGTATTCTCAAAAGGCTTGACTCTTCACCATACTCATGGTTGTAACTTGCTTTTTTTTTTTTCTTTCCTCTGCTCTTCTTTCAGGGCCTGCACTTCTTATTTGTTTCTGAGTTCCTTTGTAAAGTGAGAGTGATGGAAATTGTTTATCAGGTTATATAAAGAGAAAACCTTGATTTACATAAAGTTGGAAGCTGAAGAAAGTGAGGGTTGCTAACTTCTGCATTTGGCAGCTGTTGATTAATCAGACTAAGTGATGTGAACAAAACTCTCTTAGGGTAATACAAATCTCATAAGTTTGACATGGTAGTGTGATGATAGTTGCTGGAAATGAAAGCTGATCTACTGTTTATAGTATGGCGATAACAGTTTAATTTTTTACTTGGTTTCTGGTCCCTTTTTTTCTATTTTCAAAATCTGAGTAAATTTGGTATTGAATATTTGACCTCTGTATTGCCTGATCCAAGTTAGCTAATAGGCAGAAAAGGTCTTAGAGCTGGAGTCTTCTACAGAAGCTAATTAAAGAAAATAGAGTGTATTGCATCTGCCTAGGAATAAGTGCCCCATTGTTAGGTGTGCACTGAAGTCGGTCATTATCCAAGTTCTTGTGTGGTGCCACACAGTAGTCAAAGAAGTTACATCCGGATTTGCCAGCATAGTACTCCTGTCATTTCCTCGCATTCACATTTCCTTAAAAATAAAATACTTGTGCTCAGCAGCCTGTGCTTATGTTACAGACCTGCTTTCCATAGTTCCCCAAACTGTCAGTCTGCTTTTATGTACAGTACTGTCTTCTGTTATTTTGAAATGAAGAATGCTGGTTTTGCACTGACTGTACAATTGTAGGCAACATGGGAATTTAAGTGGCTGAACAATCAAATTCTCAAGTGCAGGAGAGTGAGTGGACATTCCCGCAAAGAAATTAAAGGGATTTGTTAAACTTTTTAACAGTGTTGGGCTCTAGATTTTGAATTCCAGTGGGAGATTATAAATGACTAAAAGAAATGATATTTTACTAAAAAGAGTATTGGTGTAAAAGTGTTATTTTTATTACCCTGTGAGTTTATCCATTTTAGCTTTCATTTTTTTTAGAAGAAACTTCTGATGTTTTCTTATTGATGCGTAGACATTTATACTGAGATGTCTTTATAGATGTTGCTTGAAATACACAACTGATAAGTAACCAGCATTTGTTCCAGAGGTATGTTGCTACAGCTGATTTTTTGACTGCTAACATTAGCCTGAACCTGTTCTTGAAAAAAATAGACCTTACTTAAGGAACAAGAAATACACAAACAGATAGGGCATATAAATAGCAGGAATATTTCAGCACTCCCCCAGTCCCTGTGCAGTACATCCAGACTCTTCTTAGGGAGTTGAGTTACAGATTATGGGTGCGTGGAGGTGTGTCAGGAGAGCTGCCAGCATATTCATACAGGCCTTTATGTAGAACCAGTAGGACCTGCCAGTAATTGTACAATGTGCCTCCTAGGAAACTGAGTGGTGCTTGTCGTGCAGTTTCCGACTATGTGCCTGTCTGCACTGGTGAAAAGAAGAAAAGTTGCATTTTGGGGAAAGTAAGATGGGCTGAGCAGTATGCTCTAACACACCTAACCTATTTGCAGGCTGCCCTTTCTCTTAAGCAGCCACAGCACTGCCAGTACTTTTTTTCCTAAACAGTAGCTTTCATTCTGACTCCATAAGGTTAAAACCGTCTTTCTCTCAATAGCTAATTTCAAAGGCAAAAGTGAAAACCCGTGACACATGAGGTTTAGGTTTAAGTGCTGTTGTGCTAACAGCCTATTTCTGCTGCCTTGTGACCTTAGCTTTCTGTTGCGTCAGCCAAGGTTAAAAAATTTGTACTCTTTCAAGGCACAGGCAGTTTACTTTCAGCGTGTTTTCTAAGATGTGAATCAAAAGTTGATGTTGACAGCATTTGTTCACAGACAGAAATAGAATGAAGCGAAGACAATAGAAATAATGTAGTCAAAATTCCACAAATGAAAAGCATGTGATGTGATATCCTAATCCAGTTGATTGCACCTACTTTTTTAAGATCATGTTATTCTCGGAGTATGTTACTAATAGCTGTCTATTTATCAATATCAGAGCTTTCATTTCTGTACTAAGAATATTTTGTACCAAATGGTGGTGTAGTATTCAGAGTCCTATAGAAAGATCCAATTATTTAAGGCTCATAATGTAACCTATACTTTATGCAAGGTGGTAAACTGAGAACAGTCATAAATTCTTACCATTTTCAACTTTGGATCTGTGCTTGTAGCTCTGGAAATAAATGCAAGACAGTTCTTAAGGGTAAAGTCTTCAGGAGTATCTGAACTGAGGAGCTGAAGTGCAGTGGGACGTAAGCACTAGAAGTTAACAGAGGCACTGTTAAAATCCTGCCCTGTCAGCTTAATTTCAGTGTTAGCTTTCCTCATTCTGTCCTACTTCTAGTTAAATATTTTATACTTAGCTCTGTTGTGCATTTATTTTGTAAAGTGATGCTTTTTTTTTTTTGGCACAAAAGAGGAAGAATACAGATATTTTAGACTTACAGAATTTTTCTTTCTCTTAATTTAAAATGACTGTTGTCAATGAATCTCAGAATAGTCAATAGCGTGGTCTCTATGGGGATACTTTTATGAATTGAAGTCAAACTCTAACAAAGTTTTTGAATTTAACAATGACTTTTTTAACAGACATTGCATATCTAATAAATATGTTAATGCAGCTATAATGCCTGTCAGGAGCTGCCTAATTGTAGTAAGTTTTACAGAAGAAAGAAAAAAGCAGCATTTTGTGCTGCCCAGAGAAGTTTGCCTCCCAAAATGCAAGCTTTTGCCCGTTTGTTATTGACCATTTTTTATGTAAAGGGTTGGGTTTTTTTTTTTAACACAAAGGTTTTCACAATGAAAACTTGTCCTTCCCCTCTAGCATAATCACCTGCTGCTTTTCTGTTTGACCTATGCACGTACTCTATCAATAGTCACAACTCTTAGCTGAAGATCCCATTTTCACAGTAGAAAATGCACATCTCTTCTACAGCTGTTTCTCTTAAACCCTGTAGGTACACTCTTGTGATTGGGGCATTGGTGCCTGCTGGGAGAAGTATGTTCTCCTAGCAACTCCAGAAATGTTCTCACATTCCCCAAAAGTGAGAGTTGCAAAGGGATGCTCTTTCTGCAAGGCGTGATCTGCAGGAAGACTGCGAAGACGGTCATCACTCTCTCTTTGTCAGGCACAGGTCTGGCCCTTATTTTGGCAACTCACTGAAGTCTTCCTACGCTCACCTGGTCTTCCTTGCCACTCTAGGAGCAAACATTTCCCTTCAGGCTTCCTAGAAACATCTTGTTCAGCCTTCTGCAGGAAGAAAGGGAAAATCATGTCCCTTACCACTACCCTTTGTCATCTTTATTCATCAGCACACAAATAACTAAGTAACAAATTATTCTTGTTTACCCAGATAAAACCAACACGTGTTCTTGGACGGAAACACTCACTCAATCTTTACTTCTTGTTAGAAACCCTGTCTACTAATACCAAAATTGTAGGCTGAATATTTTCATTTTAAGTCACGGATTCTGTATTAAATTGTAAATCTGAAATAGAAGCCTTCATGAATAGTCCTTGTCAAATATCATTGATGTCAGATATTTTTTTTTTTTTAGTATTTTCTAGATGGTAAGGAATACATTTTTCTCTGTGAGATTGTTTAAAGTAGGTTAGCATCAGCTTTCCTACCTTCCTCTGCGACTAATTTTAAAGCATGATAGTGAATCACTGAATCGCTATCAGAATCACTGATAGTGATTGCAGCAGTGACATTTGCTTTCTCCCTCCTCCTTTTCCAGTGTTTTGGCTGGTCCTGGACATGGCATCAACATGAATAGAAGCAAGATGTAGGCAGCCTGAGCTTGTGCATTTCCTAATGAAACTTCTGTGGGCACTTAATCTAATGCTAATACTATCGTTTCTGAAAGGATATCTGTGAAACCGAAAAAAATATGCCACTTGGCAGGAGGGGCAAACAGTGCTTCATGCCAGGATGTTGTGGACACGTGCTATCAGCTAGACTGCGTATAAAAAGCTAATTGCCGTATTTTCCCTTCTTTCTGCAGGAACTTGGAACTAGTAGTTTTTTCACACATACTTTGTTTTCTTTTCCCACCCCTTTCCCTTGTGCCCTTCATTTCAGATCTAAATGAGTGTGGACTAAAGCCACGGCCATGCAAACACCGGTGTATGAATACCTACGGCAGCTACAAGTGCTACTGTCTGAATGGTTACATGCTTATGCCAGATGGAACGTGCTCGAGTACGGCAAGGCTTGTTGCTTGTTTTTTTCACGCTCCTCAAGATCCCTGCTTGGGTTTCCCTGGGAAACTTTTATGAAGTGAAGATGAATCCCAAAGTAAAAGATTAACCTTGCTGGAAATTAGGCAGTTGCACAAGATGATCTTCTTTTTTTTCTAATGAAATTAGGCTGAACAAACCAGGAGCAAATATTTTCATTTTATTAGTTTTGTTACAGGTTTCTCCAGAAGCATTCTTCAGTGCTGTAAATCACTTTTAATTGGCCTTCAAGTGCTTGCAGTTTTCATGCAGCAAGACAGCTGCAGTTCTGCTGTATGTCCTTATGAATGTAAAATCATTAAAGCTGCAGATGTTGGCTGTTTGACTGGTATAAAACTGTATCGTCATCTCTCTGGAGATCAGGTTCCTACTTGCTCCCATAAAAGTGGATACTTTGAGTGTCTGGACAAAGAGTAGGGGAGAGAAATTACCTTTAATTGAAGATGCTCCTATTTTAAATTGGCAGTGCTGTCCAGGAGGGTTTATAGTACACACTGGGCTTTATATTCTTCATGGGGGGCTGCATTCCATGACACAACTTGCTACAAATATGGTGGGTTTCTTTTTTTATTTTCTTAGAGATGCAATTTGTGGAAAGAAAAAATTTACTGCATATACATTTGCTCTTCAAAGCCTGAATGGATACCTGTCAAATTCAACAAGCGTTTTTCCACTTCTATCATAATTATACGATGTCTTAATTCTCCAAAGTTTTTAGTAATTTTCTGGTACTGATCAGAGTCCTTATCTAAATTTGTTCAATTGTTTTTTCCTAGATGCCCTTTCTTGCTCGATGGCAAACTGTCAGTATGGCTGTGATGTACTGAAAGGGGAAGTACGCTGCCGCTGTCCTTCTCCAGGACTGCAGCTAGGGCCTGATGGCAGGACTTGCATAGGTAGGTGATCAAATGTAGATTTATTTTTTTTTCTCCAAAATGTTTTTATTCTTACACAGAATGTAGTTCAAGGGAGTTTATCAGATGTATTTAGAATGCATCAAACATGCAGTTTAAAGATGTTACTAATGAGAATTGGGATAGGCATGTTGCTCAGGTGCTCTCAAGTGGTCTGTGTCAGTGTTCGCCAGTGTTTTCCTCCAGTGCTGCAAGTTTCATTGACTGCTTAAAACTCTTATGGGCTGCTTGGCATCCAAGCCCTTACCACTCCTGGTGCTGGGTCATTTTAACCTATTTCTAACAGAAACTCCAAATTACCTGCGTGCATGAAAAAAACAATGGGAAGGTCAGCTTTCCCTCATACCCAACAAGGTGGTGCCTAGGCTCAGAGAGTAGAGAGATAATTTGTGCAAATCATTGAGGTTATACTGGGACAAGGTGAAGGTCTGTGCGCACTCCAAATAATAATGGGATTGAGGCCACTGTCTTTCTTCCATATTGTGAAAACTACAGGTTAAAATAAACTTGGGAATTCAGACTGTATAAAAGTGAAATGTTTTGTTCCCATCTTTGTGAACATGGAAAAGGTACTTATGGTTAATCAGACTGTATTGTGTCACAGTCTACTATGGTCTGAAGAACAGTGTGACATGTGATTTCATTAGTCATTAACTATACATCCCGAAAGGATATGATGCTCCAGTGATTTTATTATTTATATTCTATGCAGTGCTACAGTTCCATAATCAGTAACAACACTTGCACTGAAAGAATGTGAGAGAATGTGGATGCCTTAATTATCCATTTGGTTATCATGGCTGTCCACAGGGGAGGTGGTTCTTCAAGTGGCTAACACATGCTGACCAAGAATTTTTTGGCAGAGCAAGTGACGGATTCTGGATCTTCTGATGTGAAAAACAGGATCATATCTAATTTAGACGCTTTCTGGAGTCTCAATGACTTTTTTGCCTCAGGCTTCACTGGGAAGTGTTCTAGCCACACCACCCAAGCCGCAGAAGGCAAAGGCAGAGACTGAGAATGAAGAACCACTCACTGTAGGGTGTAGATCAGGTTTGAGACCATCTAAGGAACGTGAAGGTGCACAAGTCCATGGGACCTGATGAGATGCATCTGTGGGTCGTCAGGGGAAATGGCGGATGAAGTTGCCAAGCCACCCTCCATCATATTTGGGAAGTCGTGGTAGTCTGGTGAAGTTCCCACTGACTGGAAGAAGGGAAGCATAGCCCCTACTTTTAAAAAGGGGAAAAAAGGAAGACCTGGGGAACCTCAGGCTGTCACAGGTCAGTCTCACCTCTGTGCCCAGAAAGATCATGGAGCAGATCCTCCTGGAAAATCTGCTAAGGCACATGGAAAATAAGGAGGTGATCGGTGACAGCCAACATGGCTTTGTGAAGGGCAAATTGTCCCTGACAAATTTGGTGGCCTTCTACAATAGCATTACAGTGTTGGTGGAAGAGGGAAGAGCAACTGACATCGTCTACCTGGACTTCTGCAAAGCATTTGACGCTGTTCCACACGACATCCTTGTCGTTAAATTGGAGAGACATGGATTTGATGGATGGGCCACTCGGTGGATAAGGAATTGGCTGGATGGCTGCACTCAGAGTTGCGCTCAACAGCTCACTGTCCATGCAGAAACCAGCAACGAGGCATTTCTCAGGGGTCAGTACAGGGACCGGTGCTGTTCAACGTCTTTGTTGGTGACATGGACAGTGGGATCAAGTGCACCCTCAGCAAGTTTGCTGATAACACCAAGCTGTGTGGAGTGGTCGACACACTGGAGGGAAGGGAT